TACCATTACTAATGGAAAGCTAACATAAAGTGCATCTTTGTTTCTGTGCTTTTTTTGAAATTCTTTTTAAAATGCCTGGGTCCATTTTCCTACCTTATTACCATCTAGTGATATTATTAGGTGTTTTTTTTGTTTGTTTTTTTTTTTGCTGACCAAGGATCCTGCAAGTCTTGCTATTCAGAACATTAAATCCCACAATATGGGAGAGATGAAGAAAATGGAGAAGTTCATGCTGCATGTGCCCTGAGCCCCAGAAGTCATGATTTGGGTTAAGTTTCTGAGGTGACTATTTCCCTGTCATTTGCCTTTCTCCTAAGAACTGAGTATAGCAAACATTGCAGAGACCCAAGAATTCGGAGTGACTGAATCCATCCAATCCATTCCTAATCTTGTCATGTGTTCCTTTAATCTCTCTACTCCAACATCCCCGAAAGCTCAGCAATAACTCAGAAAGAAGAAAACACAATAACCCCTTTGTTTCCTGACCATGTCACCTGACCCAAAGGATTCACCTTGAAAAGTCACCCATCAGAGAAGATAGAGCCTGACTGAAGAACAATTTGACCAGCCAGATGTCATCAAATGTGGCACTTAATAAATGCTCGTACCCACTGGGAAATAAGGCACCATCAGCCTATAACCCAACAGGATTGATGCTTCTGCATCAGGCTGGATTCATCCACACAGCCAGCCAGCAAGATTGCATTTTACCATATGATTTAATACAAAATGGGTTGAAGTTGCAAGTCTTCTAAAATAGCAATTGAGCTTTAAACTGTTGTTAGTCCTAGATGTGGTCAAGAATAAGAAAGTCTCTGCAGATGGCTATTCCCTAAGGCAGCATGCATGATTGAGATGAACATATTCCATCAGTGCCTTGATGACATTAGAGTCAATGTTTTAAAGAACAGATGGAAGATGCTAATCGATATTTCATTTGGTGACAGAAAATCTACTTCTATTTCCCAACTTCGGGGATCCTCAGCACCATGGATAGCAGTAAGCCTGATGGATTTCAGGCTACATTCTGGTGCTTCTCCCTTAGTATCCCTTCTGGGACTATAATTTCTACACACTTGGGTTGTTTTATGGGCACACTGAGAGGCAAGTGACTGTAAATCCTGACCTTTTCTGCTCCTAGATTATATACTTTTATTCTATTTAGTCATAAGTGTTCATCTCTACATTGAATAGATAATTAAATGACAAAAATATTATCCAAAGAGACAATTTATAGGAAGGAATTACCACTCAAAGAGCCAATGGACCATATGCAGAACCCTATGAGATATCATTAAAAAGCACTTAAGATTGGACTTAAATAAAACTCTTAAAATTGGCATCATTCCCAATGTCACAGAACTCACTGCTCAACACTTTTCAAAGGCTGAGCCCACAATTTTACCCACTGGGCTTGACAGAATGTAAGCTTCTTGTGGGCAGGAACTTTTTGATTTTTGTCTTTGTATTACCAGTTCCCAGCATAGTGCCTGGCACATATGAGGAGCTTAATAAATGCTTGTTGGATTACATTGAATTGGGTCCTCTCTCAGATGCAACTGACATTTCTAAAGTAGGCTCAACCTCTTTCTAGGAAAACAAACAGCATCATCTACTCTTTGAAGATCCATTAGCAAAACAAATAGAACTGGGCAAGGTATCCATATCTTCTGAAATAGTAACTGTCTAGACCAGGTTTGGGGAACCTGAGGCCTCGAAGCCACATGTGGCCCTCTGGGTCCTCAAGTGCGGCCCTTTGACTGAATCCAAATTTCACAGAACAAATCCCCTTAATAAAAAAATTTGTTCTGTAAAACTTGGACTCAGTCAAAACTCAGTCAAAAGGCTATACCCTAGGACCCAGAAGGCCATATGTGGCCTTGAGGCCACAGGCTCCCCACCCCTGGTCTAGACTATCTTAATTGTTTATATTTTTCATCCTTATAGATGAGGAATATATGGGGAACATGCCTTAGCCCTGGTATAATCAGAAGGGGTTTAGTATTTCTCAACCCTTTTCAGTCCAGAATAATCTTGTGGTATTGCTGAGACACTGTGGTTAAAGCCTCTCCCATTTAGCTGCCTTCTAGCTCATCCATGCTTCCTCACCCAAGCCATTCTCCCACCTACATCTGTTCCCCGCAGGAACCATACCTAACACACCCATGTACCCTCTCATTGAAAAACTGGCAGAGGGGAGTTAGGAGACCAAAGATATCATTGAACTTTGACTTAGCCTGGAGGGGCCTCTGGTTCCGCAGTCAGCTCAGGAGGAACACTCTGTGCTAATTATACCTTTACTGAGAATAATTCAATGAGGCAAGAATCAAGGAGACAAGTTAGACAGGCTCCCAGAAGAGCAGTCATTCCTTTCCACACAATTACATTTAGCCCCAAATGCCACATTGGCCCCAGGGATTTGGCGGGGCAGTTGTCAAAACCTGGTCTATGTAACTTGGTGCTGTGATGTCTCTAAATTCTCCTCCTCCCTTATCTTTACAGTCTTGGTTTTCTGGACTCCTCCCAACTTTACATTGTTTTTCTTTTTTTGCTTCTGCCTGGTACCCCTAACCTGAGGAATATCTCCTCATTCAAGATTTATATACATCAATCAGGACTTAGTATGTGTGTGGGGGAGGGGTTGGGGGAGCAGTGTTGTAGTAGAACCTAATCAAAGCCCATTACACATGCCAAGGATGTCTTCCCAACTCACTAGCGTGTCTCAACACACTTTTTGGGAAACAGTGAGTACCTTGGCAGGTGTACATATGTGTGTATGTTCATATGTTTATATGTATACATACACACACACTACACATACACATATGCCTCCTACCCCCAACACCGACCTCAAAGTCTCTTAGGGCATGTGATCCAGTTTGAGTGAGTAGAGCAATGAGTAAGTATGTCACTCTACAATTATTTGGACTGTGTTTGGCAGGTCCTAGAGAAGAGAAAATGTGACAGCATATGCCAACTGGCTTCCCAGAAGGCTCCTTACCCAAACTCCACACTCTTGGAGGTCAGAAAGGTACACGACTCTGATCCTCCAGAATGTGAAGGCGGTGCCAGCCAAGCAGGCCTCCACAATTGGGGGAGCACCTCAGTGAAAGTGGTTTAGCCTCGAACTCCTCTCCCCATGAAACAATAAGAAGCCAGGAAGACATCAGAATGTATTTTATTAACACAGGTTTTTAAGTGAACAAATAAACTGACACCAACAAGAGAGCTCATAGTTGGTGATATCACTCAAGTTAAATCTATAATATTTAGGACCATATTTTCCAAAATGATATATATCACAGCTAATGATTTCATAGGAGACAATGGCAAAGACAGGAAAGAATAATTAACATGTTCACCAGCTCATGGATCTGTTTGTAATAACTCTTAGCTTATAGAGACTTCTGTGCCTTGAGGACAAGTGTTGGTATTTGAAAATACTGAGGGTAAGTCCCTCCTCTAAAATGCAAGCCAAGGAACTGAATCCCACTCATGGAAATGCAAGCACATTTTCACCTTACCAATGACTCCAAATGGTGTTCACGCAATGGTTCTGTGTGCGGTGGGTGGTTCACTGACTAGCTATGAATCGGAGGGGTCCTTGAGAGTCTCTGGGCAGACTTTCTGCCACGTGACTGTTTTTACAAGATGACAGCTTATTCTCTGTTTCTGATTCCCACATAATTGAACCACTAACTTAGCATATCCCTCCCTGGTTTCTCCAAAGTAGCCTCAGGCTTTCTCTGAATTCTGGTAAGCCAGCATGGCCTCCTACCAGAAGAAGGCAAGAGGGACTGGGTCTAAGGACCAAAAATGATGGGAACCATTAAACCCTAAGCAGCCAAATGATTATGGCTAACAGTGAAGGCTTAAAGGGGGTTCTAATAAATGAATGTGCTATTTATGCTTCCTGCCTCCAGACACTGACTTCCTTCTATTTCTCCACTTTAATCTTAAGCCAGGAGCTGTATTTGCTTCATAAAATACAAATATGTTTCCAGGGCAAAATCAAAAGCAGTGGTGTTTCAATGTAGTCCATTTGCCTCTGCAGAAGGGCCTGTACTACGGCTGAAAAGTTGGCTCTTTATTTCACTTACCCAAGTGTAGGCTTTTATGTTCTGAATATTTTTTCCTAATTCTCTCAGTGAAATACAGCCCTCTTTGCTTGGAAGGATGTACAGTCAGCTGCATGGAAATGGGAGCTAGATTGCCTCTGGATATAAGCTATCTCTTCTCCAGCCCATTAAAATGTGCATGCATTCACACTGGGTTCGCTTTCCAAATTCTATCTGAAGAAGAAAAACGAAAAGGAAAAAAATCTCTTTTTCTCTCTGTCTCCTGGCATAACTTTTTCAACTTCTCCAGGTTTAAATTGTCTGAGAAATAATCATGGCTGGCCGAGGATGTCAGTTATGACTAATTTCTCCTTCCCACCCCCCCCCCTACTCAACCCCCGCAAAAAAAAGTCACACTCAATTTCTATTCAAAAAGAAACATCTTACTGTAAATCACAGTTGGATTTGGGAGAGATTGGAAATGAAATAACAGCTCCAATACAAATGAGGCTGCCAAGTGAGGGCGATTTATAAAAACATTAGGGAAGCCAGAGCCAGCCTCTTTGGTCTCAAAATCTGAGGCCAATGAAAACCTACTCTTGGGCCCTTTCATACAATTCAGTCTAGTGCTCCCTTTCTCTTTCCAACATTTCTCCCTAAGTACCATTTGTCACTGTTTCTTGATCAACATCTGCTATGGTGGGTAAAGACTTGAAGAGTATGCCAAAGTGAAACCCTGAGATGGTGGAAGGCCTTCCTTTCAGTCAGTATGGGAAACATGCTCAGGGAATTTCTCAGTGGGATATGTGTGTGTGTGTGTGTGTGTGTGTAAATGCATATTTAAGTGTGTGAGTGTGTAGGTGTGTGTGTGTAGATGTATGTGTGTAAGTATTGTGGGGGAGGGTATTGGGAGAGTAGGGTTATATCCCTCTCTCCCTTCTTTCACTTCAGGACTTTCATGTTCCTCTGGCCAATCAAATAAAACAGAAGTCCTGAAAGGTAAACCAAGGGTGTCCCGGCAGCAGCAAATATAAAAGACCAGCCATAATGCACATTCACAGGGGCATTCTCCGGGATGCACTTTTCACTCCTTTCCAGAAGTATGTATTTCCGAAAATCGGCTGCACACTCCTTCCACAGCACAAACAGGATGAGGAGGAGGAGGAAGGAGCCCCCTGGAACAAAGGTCAAAAGGGAAAGTTTGTAAGCAAGGTAAATGAGACAGAGAAAACCCTATTTATGACTCAGTCTCCCAGTACTAGCTTCATGTGTGTATACGCCTATATGTACATACTTATATGTGTGTGTATATGTGTGTATACGCCTATATGCACATACTTATATGTGTGTATATGTGTGTATACGCCTATATGCACATACTTATATGTGTGCATATATGTGTGTATACACCTATATGCACATACTTATATATGTGTATATATGTGTGTATACGCCTATATGCACATACTTATATGTGTGCGTATATCTGTGTATACGCCTATATGCACATACTTATATGTGTGTATATATGTGTGTATACGCCTATATGCACATACTTATATGTGCGTGTATATGTGTGTATAGGCATATATGCACATACTTATACATGTGTATATAGATACATATATGTATATGTGTTTTATATGCGTATAAAGTCACATATGCACAAACACACATATACGGTAGAGCTCCCCCCAAAATTATTCTAGGACAAGAATATGAACAAACAGTTCTCAAGATAACTGGCAACTATCACCAATCCCATGAAACATTGCTCTATGTCACTAATAATAAGAAAAGTGCAAATAAAGATAATTCTAAGGCTTCGACTCACATCCTCCAAGTGGCAAAGTCAGTAAAAGCTAGAACCCATCGATGCTAGAGGGGCTGGGAATTGGTGCAAGCATTACAGAAAACAATTTGGCATCATAGGAGAAAAGTCACTAAATCAAGAGCACATGTAACATTCTACTGTTATAGTTTTCCATTTCTTGGGATCAGAAGACCCCAGGTTTAGAGCCAGAATAGACTTCATGGAGATTAAGAGATTTGCTCAGGGTTACGTGGGACGTGCACCAGAGGCGGGAGCTGAACTCTTCATACCCTTCAGTTCAGTGACCCTGCTATTGGACACATACCCTTGAGTCAAAGGCAAAGCGAGGCCCCACATATACCAACAGATTTATCACAGTACTTTCTGGACCGGCCAAAACTGGAAATGAGTGGGCACCCATTAATTGGGGAACGAGTGAAGAAATTTTGACATAAGAACCCAATGGAATATTATCGTACCATAAGAAACTACAGACATAAGGAATTCCAAACTACTTGGGAAGATCGGCATTAACTGGTACAGAACAAAGGAAGCAGATCAGTTAGAACAATATATACAACTACAATAATATAAACAAAAACTACAGTAAAGGGCATCTGAACTCTGATGAATCCTAGTGACCAAAGATGATCCCTACTCTAAGGGACCAGGTGTACAATGGGTACATGTTGTCAGACCTGACTCTATCTTTTGTTTCTACATATTATTCTTCATTATAAAGGAAGGTTCAATGGGAGATGGGGATGGCTAATAGGAAATAACTGTGGTATATGTAAACAAAAGGCATCAAAGACATTTAATGGCATTTTCCCTAGTATCCTTTAGCTGTATCTCTCCTTCACCCCATTACACCACTCTTACATCTTGTATTTTTTATTCAATAAGCATTTCTCCTTGCCTATGGTCATGTAATATCTTCCATAGTAGGATGTAAGCTTCTCCAGGTAGAAATTATCATTGTTATCTTTGTATTAGGTGCTTCATATATGTTTGTGGAATTCTACAGCACCTTGCTATTTCAGACGCTCAGACATGGAATCTAGAAAACACAGAAATCCTACAACCGCAGGCTCATCTTCATCCCCTCAAACCAATACCATAAAGAGCTTTGCCCACCAAAATGAAATTGAGCAAACAATAATCAATGTCAATGGACACACAAAAATGAAGACTCATCTCCTGCCCTCTCTGAGGAATCCAAGTTGTAAATGGTGCAAAGAGAGATGCACCAAAAGCATAATTATGCTTCAGTGTACTTCCTATGATGTCCTGTGTGCAATATGTTGCCTAAGGGAGAAGTTTGGTTGAAAGAGGAAGTGGACCAGATATATGGCAAGAGTAAGAGATGAGCTGAACAGTCCAGGCACTGCCCTGGTGCCCATGAAATGAAAAAAGGCCTAGAGGATGGCCTCTAAGACGTTAAGTGGACACTCCTTTGAGTTGAAGATTTCTGGGAGCAACGGACCAATGGAAGGAGTACTCCTATAGCTAAAATCACAAATCTAAGGAAGACTTGAAAAAGAAAATCTCCCCGAAATGGGTTCTGAAACAAAGCTGCTTTATATGAACACTGCTCCACAGAGAAGAGTGCTATATCAAGATATCAGCATAATTCACGTAGGAACTGGGTCTCCTACAGCAACAATGAGACTTGCCCACATTGTATATGCCATTTTGCAGCAATAGCTGAGATGGAACTAATTATTCAAAATACTATGTATGCCCAATTTGGGGCAGGTAACAATGGATGATATAATGCCTCTATTTTTGTAATTGATTTCTTTATCCTCTCTTATAACAGCTATTAGAAAGGGGCTTGCTATCAAGAGAAAGATCTACATCTGGCAAAGAAGAAGAATCTTATATTTGCTTCATTTAGGCAAAACCCTCCCCAAAGAGTCATCCCAAGCCTTGCCAGAAGTCATTCAGAATGTGTTCAAAGACCAGCCCCACTCACAAAGCACCAAAGTCAGCACCAAGTTAGGAGAAAGAATAAAAATGAGAAAGAAGTTAAGGTATACAAACAGTTCCTACCTGACCAATTTAAACAAGCTATTGATACAGAAAAAATTGGGAACTAGAAAAAGGAACAGATATCAACACAGACTATCACGATTTCCTATAGCAGTTTAACCAATGTAAAGTAATCACAACCCAAAAAGGAGGCCAAAAAGCCTACAAATTGCCTGGACCAGAAAGCACATGCTTTTCTTGCCAAGGGAAGTGATATGATAGACAAGGGCAAAATCAATTTAGAATATAAAGTCATTTCTAAATCTTATGCAGGAAGATAACAAAGTAGTAGAAGGAAAAACATTTCAAGAGATCCAATTAAGCTATATCATGCAGAGAAAATTTAAGGATAAAACTGGAAGAATAACAAACAGGTAGGAAAAAAAACAAGATTTCTATAACAATTTCCTTCAACAATGACAGCCAAGTCACTAAACTCAGAAATATGGAAGGCATGTCCCTGATGTGCTACATGAGGAGGTGGAAATGGCCCTAAAAAGATGGGAAAAATAGCTGGTCCAAACCCAGTAAACACAGGAGAAATCTATGTTGAAAGTCACAAATCTGAGAGTATTAAGGAGTGAATTCTCAAGATATCCAAAAGAAAGGAAAACATAGACATTATTACTATTGAAAAGGGGGATTAAGAGAATATCAATAATTGGTGATCGAAGTGTCTACTTTCTCATATTTATAAGAATAATTTATATGTTTCAAAGGCATCTATAATAAAAAGCTGGGAAGGGAGTAGATAGTCCTTTGCACATGACATTCTACAGCAAACCACATCTTCACAATCCCATTCTTGGCTGAAATGCAAAGAACATAAGACTCCAGTGATTATTGTTTGGTTATTTAAAAAAAAAAAGTATTTGATTCAAAGGAGCAAAATGCAGCCTTAAAAGTTTCTCCTCCACCTAGGTACATTCCATGCATATGTTGAGATAATAGCAGATTCCTTGATGAATGTAACACTGGATATAATTTTGATAATCCTCTGAACATTAAAATCAAAGCAAAAAAAAAAAAAAAGAAGACAGTTTCACGTTCATGGATGATGTCCAAATGTAAAAGGGATAGATGCTGAGGTGCTCTGGACACAATCGCCACAATGTCTTGTGCAGCAGGACAATCAAACCCTAAAACATTAGGGAGTGAGTCTCCTGAGTGAGATTGGCAATCACTCCAAAGGGTTCAGCCTAATTGTCAACACGGGAACAAAACAAATGGATGAAGAACGCCTACTGTGCACATTGTGATATGCAGGTGGTCCATTGGTGTCTGTGTATCTTAAACAGACACTACATGTGGACTATGAACTGGGCCCAGAACAGAATGTGTCTTTGGGCAATTAGACCCTGTTTTTAAGGAATTAGACTTGTTTTGTTTGGCCAGGGAGGGCAGGAGAGCAATGGGCTCTAGGTGTCAAGAGCCAGAACTTCATTAGCATACCCCCTCCCTGTTACTGCACACAGGCTTCCAAAGTAACCTGCAGATGTCCTGGAGACTGACTATTTTGAACTTATAATAGCAGTAAATTAATGGAAATCATTATCATCAACTTGAAGGATCATAGATCAGAATGGATTTAAACATGTACAAACAAGTTTTCTAATCAGCTGACATAGTGTAAATCGTTCATAATTAGTTGGGACTATGTCAAAATAATGAAAACGAATTACAGTTATAATCACGCTAAAAATCACTAGTAAGAAGAAATAAAAAGGGATAGAACAAGGTTTGGCAAGTTTCGACTTGTCTGAACTTCCCTGAAGCCAGTTATTCACGTTGAAGCAATAGGAAAAGATTTCTAAGAATATGAAGAGCTTTACAACAATGCTCTTCATTATCACAGGCTTTAAGGAGCTTAAACAGGTCACAACTAGTCCAGATCAGTGGAAGTGGCACTGTCCTAATACATCCTGCTCTGAAACTTACTGCCTCAGTGACCTTAAGCAAACTTCATCTCCCCCCTCTCCCCCCCTCTTCTTGTCTCTCTCTGGTCTCTGTCTCTCTCCCTTCTGTCTCCCTCTCTCTCTCTCTCTTTTTCTCTCTGTCTGCCATCCTCTCTCTCTGTGTGTCTCTACGCCCTCTCCTCTTTCTCCCTCTGTCTCTTTCTGTCTCTGTCTCTCTTCCCTCTCCTCTCTCTGTCTCTCCCCCCCCCTCTTCTCTTCGCTTTCTTTCTCTCTCTCTCTCTTCCTCTTTCTCTATCTCTCTCTACCTCCTCTCCTCTCTCTCCCTTTGTCTCTCTCTCTGTCTCTCCCACTCTCCTCTCTCTCTATGTTTCTGTCTCCCTCTCCTCTCTCTCCCCTTCTCCCCCCCATGACT